CAACATGATACCCATTATGAAAAATGGCTCTTTTGAAAAATCTACTTTATTATATCTAAATTAAAAATACACCTACAGCATTGAATCACTGTAAAATCTATACTGAAAACCAGCTAAAATTAATATATTATAATTATTTAAGAAAGCTAAAAAACGATTTGTTTGTTAATTACATAAGATGGAGTAACTAACATATACACAAAATTATGTTTATGAGCACATTATACAACTTGTTCCAGTTGAACGAAATTAGATGTTATTTTTATTTATGAATGCACCAAAATGTGTCACTGTACAATTTTAAACACAAGTATTGCTTTACAAAAAAAATACAAACATACTAATATTTACCTAAAACTATGTAGACAAACTAAAATGATCATACAATATTCAATTTAAACTCACTGTTTTAAATATTATGAAAAAATAATAAGTCACAATAATATTATTATTATATTTTATTATGTTTCCTAGTTCGTCAGGCAGATGTAATTCGTTAAAATGTAATTATTTAACATCAACCGCTCCGGCCTGTATTATAATCTACTCGACGACAATCCATTATAATACATTATCCATTAATATAATATTAGATTTCGATTCGATCTGCCACGGATGGTTTCCCGATAAAATTACATAACATACGTATTTTAATGACACATATTATTTTATTGTATTCAGACAAAATCCGGAAAGAATTTATAACTGAACACTGTTATTGGGACTTACGGTGAAACAACTCGGCCTGCGTGACGACTGCGGGATCGCCAATGCGTGTACGCGTTTTATGTCGTCGGTGAACACTTGTTGCGGGACAGAGGACGAAAGATGTTAGGGTGGAACGGGACCGCGGGGTTCGTCGTCGGTTACTCGGCCGGTGCGCGACTACTACTATCGCGCGGGTTCCAAAAGCCGACGCCACAGCCATTCGTCGGCGGCGGCAACGGCGACAAGCGGATAACGCCGGCAGAGAGAGCTCCGCCGTCGACCCCGTGTGCTCCGTCCTTTGTTCTCGTCGTTAAATCCTCATTCATTATTATTATTATATGTACATAATTGCTTTATTACGGGGACATCACCCACTCACGAACGTCCACATGCACAGCTTTCGATGGACGTCCGGTGGCTTTGGATTTTTTTATTTTCTTTCTTTAATGTTTTTGGTATCATTAAACGCATATTGACGCTGTGGTTATTATCGTCGTTGTCGTTGTTATCAAAAATTATAATTATAATTAATGCTGCTATAATAACTGGCCGACGAAACCAGATAAACGCATTTTGAGTTGAATTAAATAAAATTTAGAATTTGATAATGATCTTATCAAACAGTTATATGATAATTGATAATAATAGCAATAATGTATTTATTTCTAAATAGTTTATATGTAGAACCACATAACCACATGCTAAAGTGAATAGTGATATAAGACTGTAAACACAATTAAAAACAACCTTAACCTCATAAATCACGATAGGACCGCCAATACATAAGATTCTCCGTTTTTTTTTTAACATAATAATGTATATTATAAGGATGCAGTCCAGAAATCAAACCTAAACTTAAGTAGTTCTTGAATAATTTTATACATTTTAATAGAAAGGTCACGATTTTTGAAAATGTCTCTGTAAACTCAATTGAATTCACTATTATGTTCTTGAACACAATATAAACATATCCAGTAGAGCGGCCATTATCTTCTTGCAGAGTTAATAAAAAGAAAATAAAAATTCTAAAACTACACCATCCAATATAATTTTAAGTAAACAACTAAATATCTAACTAAATAAATGGTGGGTGGTATAATAACATAAAATAATTAACTTGAAATATGTTCATTATTAATCGCAGATTATATTGGTCGATACCTCAATATTTACTGATATTATCAATTAAAATATGATAAAATGTATAAAATAATGTAATTTTGAGTTTGTGAGGGGGTGGGTGGGTCAAATTATTTCTTGCTACACCTGAAAAATATATCTTGGGCGCCACCGAAAAGTACAATTCATTTTTAAATACAATATTTCAATTCAAAAATATATTTATCTTAAAAATATAAAAGTTTATCAATCAAGTAATCTGACTAAGAAACTAAAATTTGTCATGTGATGGTATTATTTTAACAAATAAATTTTTATTGTACACACTTATATATCAACAATGCATTGAGCATAAACTTAGTTTACCATAAACAGTTTATAAAATAAACTGTAAATCTATAAATTACATGTTTCATATAATTTTTTTATTATTATTATGTATTTCTGGCTAGATTTAAGATAACTAAAAATATTTTATTCATAAATATTAAAATATATTCATAATTAATAAAATAAAGTTTTATAAAGCCAAGATTCATTTTCAGAATAAATAAAAACTAATTTATCAACATAAAAAAAGTTGTATGTAAAAAAAAATTTCCGAGATTCAAAATCTGGACATTATTTACACATTTGATAACCACTAATTTGCAATCTTCTATTACATTTTAAACGATAATAAATCACCAAGCTAAAAAAACAGTTATACTTAAGTAGATTTCTTTTTAGTATTTTACTATTATATATATAGTTTTTTTTAAGTTATATATTTTTAATTTAAGTTTTTATAAGAGTCCTTATCTAGTTAACAAATAAAAATATTAATTTAAGGCCAAATATTTACTAAATATAACACTTCGTACAACATTTTTTTTTATGTTTTAAAATAATTTTTATTTATTTAAAAACAAATTTTAATCCACAAAATACTTTTTACATTAATAACTAACTTGGCTTCCCTGGAGTGGCGTTAGAACATAAAATACCCATATCAATGTCTCACTCATTTCTCCCATTTTATTAAAATATATTTGCTATAATGTTTATTTTTTATACATTTCTTTCTAAAAAATGTCTTTCTGTTAAAAAAAAAATGACAGTCAAAGTATTTAAATTTAAATACTTAAATGAATAGCAATGTCTTATTGCTATTCTAACCAATTCAACTAAGTAAATGTATGCAATATAAGTTATTGATAAATATTTTTAAAATTACGTATTATTAAAAACGTAACTATTTTTCATTATATAAAATATAAATATAAATACATAATATATCATTATATTTAAATTATATCTCATTATTTTTAAAACTTAAAAATAGTACCATAAATACATTATATGAATTAAGATATTGTATAGGTATTAACAATATTTATATTAATGACGTAACATATTGCACTACTCTGATTGAAATAATCAGTCAAAGAACGCACTCAAATAATTTATTGAATATAGGTACATTTTTCTTTTAAATAGTTCAAGCAGATAACCACTCTACTGTAGTATGCTTTTAAACTATGTTTGTCGAGTGTTCGCAAAAACAAAAATGATTAATTTAAAAAAAAAACTGATAATCATTGAAAAACCAGTACTGAAATCATTTATCGCACCACACAGAATCTAAAAATAACAATAATGTATATAATATATTATTAATATTAAAAATTTTGTTTAATTAAATTGTACATATTAATATTATTCACTTGATATTGGATTACGGAAGATGTACAGTTGATTTGGATATCATACAGCATCATTTTCAGACAATTATTTTGTCATTGTAGGTGAGTTATAACTCTCAAAATGTATGACGAATATTCAATTAAGTATAAAACAACAAATATTTATGAATCTTTCCATTTTACAGCAAATCGTTCATTTTATTCATGTCATCAGATTATTATTTCTTTGTAGTGCTTCAACGATTTTATAATACCAATACGAAGCATAATATAGTAGGTACCAACTATGTAAAATACCCTAAACACCATTTAGTTATTATACTATTCGGAGAAAAAAAGAAAACCATATAAAGTATTTAACTCACTCATGAACCCAAACTACGGTACAAGTCGTAAGGTTTTTTCGTTTTAAAACAATATTATTGTTATTCTCAATATTTTTTTAAATACCATAATATTCAGATCTGAAGGCGCAGTATATAGGCAATTTCGGTACATCTTCGTGTAAGTGGTGTTCAAATAGTATCCAGCTAATCAGCTATATTTTAGATAACCAAATTTTAAATGAGAATATTTCATTACAACGACAATACTGTAATTTCCAAAAGCATTATATAATAACAACATCGTTTTTAAAAGTTTCGGGATTATGTAATCGTGGTGCTGTACAGTTGTAGGTGTCGAGTGTTCCTCGACATTGAATAGGTCACTGCAATGTACCTACATATTATTATGTTAAATTTAAATTCAATAATAACTCATTGTATACAAAATACAATTCTGAGCGAAGTCAACCTGTATGACTAAGTATATTTTATGATATATAATATAAATATATGTATAGGTATATATTGCTATTATAGTTATTTATAATATTTTATATTTATATATGTACCTATAACATGTGTATACATGTATTACTGTTATAGTGATTTATTATTAAAATAAAACTAATCGAAATATTTCGAAAATATCATTGTGTGTATGTATACTCAGGGTTGGGCAGTAATCAGTTACATGTATCAAAGTTACGTAACCCTGTTACTTTTGTAACTTGTAACTTGTAATCGGTTACACAATTTTTAAGCATCTTTTAAATGTAACGAGTTACAATTCGTTTTGTAACTTGTAACAATAGATACATGTAACTTCAGTTAAAAGTATCGTAACGAAACTGACATAAGTTATTTGACTGAATTTGTTTTATTAATGAAACCTATCGCTTGTGCTCTGGATCATCTACAAAGCGAATCAAATTTTTACTATAGCCATTTAATTCCTACTTTATTTTCATTGAAAAGTCGATTACTAATATTAAAGGAACAACATTTGCGTTATACTTTCACTTTTATCGATCCATTAATAACCTCGCTAGAAAAACGATTCAAACTATATTTTGATCTCTCCCCTGAAGTTGATGAAGCTATATTGGCATCTTGTTTTCATCCTACATTTAAATTAAGATGGATTCCTGAACACGATGAAATTATGAAAAATAGAGTTAAAAATCTTTGTATCAACATTGCTGAAAAATATATAGAGAATTCTTCTCACACTGAGTTATCAGTAGATAATGTAGACGATGAAGACTTTTTGATATTTTCTTCTCAGGAACAATGTTTTGATTCTAGGGCTAATTTAGAAGTAGTTCAGTTTTTTAATAATAAAAATAAGGCATTAACATGTTTAGACAGTTACCCTATTATAAAAAAATTATTCATCAGATACAATACAAGTTTACTATCATCAGCTCCAGTTGAAAGATTGTTTTCATTTGCTGGATTTATTCATGCTCCAAATAGAAGTAATTTATCGAACACTAATTTCGAAAAACTTGTATTTCTTAAAGGAAATGATATTTATAGGTAATATTATTAAAATATATTGTAAGTTATAGTGCTAATAATATGGACAATATGGTCAGTATGATTGACTCGTTTTTAATTGATTTTTAAAAACTAAACATTTTTTATGTACATTTATATGCTTATCAATAGTTATTAAAAGTGTAATATAATTTTAAATAATATAATATCTATGTAACAAAACTAAGATAAAAATTATCCACTCATTTGAAATTTATTATAAATTATGTGACCATTAATGATATTCCTAACCTTAGTTGGCCTAACCATAGTAAATACTAAATAATAATATAATATATAATATAAGTAATATAACTAACCAAGATAATTTCAATTTTTGATGTAAATTGTGTTTTGTGCATTTAAAATATTATGTATAAGTATAAGTATATATGTAATATAAGTAATTATTTAATATATTATAATTAATAAATAATATATAATTTTAAATACTTGCATAGAATAGTAAACATGTATTATATTAGCTTTAACATATTGTAAAAATAAATTTTATTGACTGAAAATTATATTATTATTTTTACAAAAATTTAATAAATTATGTGTAACTTGTAACTTATAATGTAACTAAGTTACAGTAACTTTAACTTGTAACCAGTTACTCAGGATATATATAACATGTAACTTGCAATCAGTTACCCAAAATTAAAGTAACTTGTAACTTGTATCCAGTTACACTGTGTAATGTAACTTGCCCATCCCTGTGTATACTGTATAGTACTGTAGTAGTAAAATATAATATTAAACGTAAAAGTTTCAGACCTCACTAATAACATTTTTAATGACAACTAAACAACTAAAATCTTTAATTTTTTTAATTAATATTTAATATCTAATTTCATCCAAATTTGAACTTCAAATGTCTATAAAAAAAACCCTACCTATCCATCTACAACATTTTTAAATAGCTAAAAAGAACAACTTACGTGGAACCTTATACATTTTTTAATTTCTTGACTACACAAGAAATTTTTGTCAAAATTTACATTTTTTCGACGATTTTTTAAAATTATATCATATGTAATACGAAATTCTAATATAAACATTAGGTGACAATTTCAAGTATCTAATTTTATTTGTTTTTTAATTACAACAAAATAAGAAAATTGATTACTGTACAGCAGAGCGACACCCACTTGCCCACCTTCTTAACTTTGACTACCCAAAAGTACCAACTAGAATCATTTTGTTATCAGAAACCTTAAAATTAAAGATCGATTCATTTTTTACTGCAAACCATGTTTACATAAGTACACAAAAATACACATACCTATCATTGTAAAATCAATACTTTCAATGATTTACTCTGAATCTATAGCGATTGAAATATTGTATAGTAGTAAAAAAATAAAACAAAAAATAAATAGTTTAATACCAGTAAACGTATGATAAATACAAATTGTGCTGAATTATAGGTTTCTAAGCATATTTTAATACAATGCAATGAACTATAATTCCATACTATGTAATTTAAAAATAATTATTTGTTAACCTTAATATTTTATTACCATTTTTTTTTAATATTGTCAAGTGGCTGAATATTTTTAAATGCTCATATTTTGATATTTTTTAAAATTTGACAGTATGAATTTACTTTGAATAGTATATACTTTATTGGCTTTGTAGTTAGGTTTGATTACGATTGGCATATAAATTTGTGGAGCAGAAAAAAATATTAAAGTTGTCTGCAAGTAGGGAGCACTTTACATGGAATTTGATTCGGTTATGCTATTGATAGCAATTAAAAAGAATGTAACAAACAGGGTTGATCCTGGGGGGACGCCGCTTTCTTGATAAAATTGGGTTGATATATGTCCATTGACTTTAAGAGAAAATGTTCTATTGGTCAAAAAACTATTAATGAAATTTAACAATTTTCCGTTGAATAATATATTTTGTAGTTTGTGTAAGGGCGTCATGTAGTGTCGTAGGTTTTTGCAATGTCTAGTGATACCAAATCTACGGTTACGCAATACGTGTCCTCTTTTGAACGACTCGTATATTTCGGCCTGTATATTGTGAAGGGAGTTGTATGTACTTCTGTCGGAAACAGTGTTGGTCAGATATTTTTCTAAGAACCAGCGTAATCTTATAATTTTTTCGAGAACCTTACATATTGTGTTTAGAAGTGAAATGGGTCTGTATCCGTTTGTTTCAAATTTCTTTTTACCCGCTTTGAGTATTGGCAGTGTCGGCCTGGCCAGGGCTGCGGGACCGCGAACGCGGCCGAGGCCCTGAGCTTTTTTTTTTTTAGTTTATAATTAGTGGCCAGGACCACCACCCCAACGTAGAGTAGTCAACAAAGCGTCAAATATACGGTACAATTAAATGTACGACGATGAACGAGGGAGTGTAGATCACTGGGGCCCACAGGCTGCAGGGGCCCCAGCCGAAGTCTTAACTAAAAATATTGTTTTCTATATTAGATTTGGATAACAATTTTTACAATCAATATGACCACCCCAATTTTTATTCACAAAAATAATCGTAAAAAACTTTAATAGAGCCCTTCATTGAAAGTGACAATTGACCTAGTTGCGCTACTGACGAAGTGTATAAACGGGGCCGGTTTAGAGAGAGCCCACGGGGCCCGGGGCCCCACAAGATTCAATTAATAAGAGGCCCCCACGAGATAATTACCTTTTAGCTTATGCAGTAAGTTATATGGCAACCTTATATGGCCAGATGATGGGCCCTAGGGCCCCCACAATCCTAAATCCGGCCCTGTGTATAAGTTATAGAATTTGAGTGTAGTGTACAATCACTACAAACACGTATCTACTATCTAGTACGATATAATAGAATCTATATTTTGTCATGGTGTATACGTGTGTGGTGTGCTGTTTACTCGTATAAGGTGTAGTACAAATGTAATGATAAACGAGATGATTTGAACGCACATAAGATTTTTTGTACAACAAAATTGTCGGGAAAATCGTAACGAGTACAAATACAATAAGTCAATAACGTCTATGTGTGGGGCCCTGTATGGCCGTACAATAGGTTTGATAAATTGTCTAATCAATTATTATCATTAGCGCTATATCGAAATAAAGAAGTAAGAACAATTAAGTTAAGTAATTAAAGAACTTTCATTTCATTCAAACTCATTTTATAATTTATTTACAGTTTATAAATATGTATTTATTTTACCCTCTACTCAAGTGACTTGTGAAAGGGTATTTTCTAAACTGAAACTTGTGAAGTCTAAAATCAGATCAACAATAAGTCAACAACATTTAATGCTTATTGCAATTGAAAAAGATATCAAGATTCAGAAAACTCAAATTATTGATACTATAGCTACATAACTACCTAAGTCATCTAAAATGTTACATGAATTGCTCATTTAGTATTTAAGTTTTTTATATTTAGCTATTACTTTCTTTAAAAATAATGTTGTGTCAACTTTTGTTCATTGTTCGTCTTCTTATTTTGGATGATATCTTTTTCGTAATTTGAATTACATTTTGTTTAGTTCCTTATTAAAATCATGTGTATCATTAAGCACGTCAGAAGTTAATACTTGGTTTTAGACTTTAGTAGAGAATTGTAAAAGTGGAAAAATTTTAATCGAGCGACTATTTGGTGAGTGGGGGGAGGGAGGTAAAAGTCAGCGTTAATAATTGGCGTTTAACGGTCAGCATCAAACGGTGCTGTTCAATATACAGGTTTCACTTTAATCACACAACTATAGTCATTTTTTATTTTTATTCATAAGAAAAAAACTGAATTCTGACATAATATATCATAAGTTAGTTTACAAAAAATAATTCATTTACACATTGGCTGATTGAGCGGGGGGGGGATATACAATAACTCTAGGAACGAAATTGTTCATATATAGTAAATGAAGAAAAAAAATCGAGGCCCCAGAGAAAAATTGCGGCCGAGGCCTTTTATATGCCAGGCCGACACTGAGTATTGGTACAATTATTGTGTGTTTCTATACGGATGGTAAATATCCAGAGGGACTGAATATCTTGTTTTATATGTCCAGTAGTAATTGATACGCAGATGCAGGAAGGTTTTGAAGCAAAATTTATGGAATATCATCCCGGCCGGGAGAGTGGCTACTACATTTAGATAAAGCTGTCTTCAATTCATTATTTGAGATATTTGCATTCAAATACATTTGTTCTTCGAGATGTGGATTTACTTTAAATATTTAATTTTTGTTTAAGTTGGCTTATGAATATTTCTATGAAGTCTTTTGCGTAGTTTCTATCAAAGTTCTTTATATAGAAGTATTCCAATATAATATTTGAGACCGAGGCAGTTGAGTTGGTCGTCTATTAATATGTGGATTTGTTTTTCATTATACTGTCCTGCTAGGGACCTAATTTTACTCCATACCTGTTTGGGGTCGGTTCGTGAGCCTATGTTTGATGTAAAGCTTTTCCATGAGTTTGTTTTGCTACTTTTTACTAAATATCTGGTTTTTGCTCATAGTTGTTTTAGTGCAATGAAGTCGTCTACTTTTCCAAATCTCTGGAAGATTTTTAATGCTAGGTTCTTTTATCGAATCTTTGATGTCAGAGTTCCACCAAGGGACTTTTGTATACTTAATTTTCCAGTTATAACTATAATTTTGCCAATTGCTATATTGGCGGCTTTTGTAATAGATTCAGTGATATTTATAATTTTTTCTTCGATTGTTGCCGTAGGTCCTGTGTAATTTTCTATGTTAAGTTCGACTAGTAGGCTAAATAAGGTACAGTCGGGGTTTTTAAGTTTCCATTTGGTAGGTATAGTATTAATTGGGTACCGTTTGTGGTTAGAAATTCTAGAAGTATAGGTGTATGATCGCTATCGTAGATTTCGAAGAGAACGAACTTCTTTGTCATAAGGAAGTGCTCGATAAGGTTAGATCTATTGCTGATAATTGGCCGGTTACTGGATTCATATTTGTGGGAGCTCCAGTGTTGAGTAGTATGAATAGTATGATGTTGTCGTCTTTGAGATTTTTTTCTATTGATCCTCTAC